AGGACAAACAAAAGGCTTGTCTGTCTGTCAGGAGACTCCATCGTCTGTTACACTGCAGGTCATTTACGTGCATGCAGGAGAATGAGGTTACGTCTTCCTGTTTCTCATCACTGACTCTCTGTCCATCGTGCCAAATTTGCTTGTTCTTATTTGCATGCAACAAAATTCAGAGTGAAGAGATAAAGAAGTGTTTTACATTCCTGCATCAGTTCCCACAGCTTCAGCCTTCACAGGGCGCTCCTTCAAATACCTGGAAAATGAACACGTCAACCCTCAGGTGTTATTAGAGGACAGGTCAAGGTGATTTTACTTTTGTGACTTAAAAAAAAAATGCTGTAAATCAGGATAAATAAAGCTACGATAAATGGTAACGTGCCCGTCTATGGTTAAAAAAAGGGAATTTATAATAAATAAAAGAAAAAGTAACAAAAAACATTTATTTAGGAGCATTTTAGTTTGAGGTTGTGATGCACAACCAGGAACACGGCGTCTATAACGTTCATGTAGTGCCGTTGTTCTGGGGGTCGTGGGTTTAGTGGCTCTGACCTCAAAAACAGAAATCAAAGTGGAGTTCAATGCAAACCCGTAACAAAGTGTTTATAAAGAGCTGGACATCTGTTTAGGGACATTCATCATAAGGTGGTGATACTGGCACTAATATAAAACTAAATCAAAGGTCACATGGTTCTTCAGCCTCCAGGACAGACACATGGTGGACATAGTGAACGTCCCAGGAAGTGACCAAATATGGTCACTCGCCCCATAAAGGGTTTCCAGTGCAGTCGACTAGAAACAGGATTATTATTATTATTATTACTGATCTCAACAAGACAAGTGACTGCAGGTTTGATCTCCTCTGCAGTACGAGGCGTTCGGCCACAGGAGGGCCCCGTTCACACACATCACAAACAACCAGCCACCGGCCGGCTTCACGGACATTTGGCCTCGGCTCCGTCATGTCAGGGAGTGATGGACTGATGCAGTCTGCTGCTCTTTGAAGGAGTTTGTGGGAACAGGATGCCAAATGATTAACACGCAGCCTTGGATGACTTTGAAGGGCCTCATGAGAACAGGAAGTCAAACCATTACCATAGTTGGAGAACTCGGCAACAAAGAGGGAACATTGTCCGTCCCACTCTTTGTTTTTCCTGTTTTGAATTCCATATAACTTGGGCAAAACCTTGAGTGATTTCCGCCTGATAAGAGCGATTATCTTGGAACAAGGTGGAGCTGTGTGGACCATTAGGATGAATGCATTTGGTTGCACGTATTATTCTATGAAGGGAACGTCCTTATAGGGTGCAGGTACCCAATGCACTAAGAATCTTTATTTATTTATTTGATTTTTTTTTACCTTATATGGTTCTTGTAAAGAATGCACCAAAAAACTGAGACTCTACATTCCTTACGGGTGACATTATGCACATTATGTGGCTGCTATCGAGCTCCTTTAATTTGTACGGTGAGCGACGAAAGAATGCATTAGGCATCACAGAAAGAAAGAAAGAAGGAAAGAAAGAAGGAAAGAAAGAAAGAATCTGTGATGAAGCAGAAAGATTAGAGGGAATGTGAAAGAAAAAAGACAACAAATTAAATATTCAAAGAAAGATTGAAGGAAAATGTTGAGAAAACAGTTAAAAGAATCTGTTACAAAGAAAGACTGAGAGAAATTGGAATATAAATAAAAAAAAAGAAAAAGGAAGATATAAAGAAAATATGAACAGAATCTGCTCCGAAGCAAGATTAGAAGAAATAAGAATAAAAATAATTCCAATGACACATAAAAGATTCACATGAAGAAATAAAGAAAATATAGAAAAAAACATCTGATGAATCTGAAAAGAAATTTAAAACCATAGAGTAAAGAAATAATAAAAAAAGAAAGAAAGAAAAAAGAGAAAATTTTAAGGAATCTGTTTTAATGAAAGAGAATAAAAAAATTGAAATAATTAATAAAATTGTTTTAAAAAAA